ATTTACCGCCCATGGGCCCCCCAGCTCTTACGGACACCCCCACACTTGTGTGGAACTTGTGCGGACTAGGCTAGTTCCTATCAGTCCACCGCCGGGGCTAGGGATGCCTCGAGGCAGTGTGGTTGTTACAGTGGGCTCCAGACTCACAAAGAGTACAGCCAGCGGGCCAGCAGGCCGTGCACTGCACCTGATACGATGAGGGCAAACAAGACTCCCACCCAGACCAGACAACACAAGTCACCTAGACATCCAAAAGCAAATCCAAGGCAGGGCAGGCTCAGAACCCGCAACCACAGGGGAATTTGCAATTAGACTCCCCGATTGGCGAAAGTCCTCGGAACCCCACCAGAAGGCCCATAAGCAAATATTGCTAAGAACTTGATGAGATACATTAAGCAAATACTGATAAGAACTAGATGAGGCCTGAGTGAGCTTGTGCGTATGAACAGCTACATTGCATTGCTCAGACAGCTACATTGCACTGCTCAGACAGACGAAGCCACATAGGCCGCAAGCCACTTCAGCATAGTTACGCCTGCGATCGGCCATAGCCCGCAGACGCGGACGCCGCAAATGCTATCTGTTTACACCCTACAGGCGTGGTTCACGTACGTATTCGCGTATATAGAATTTCATATAGAAATTTTGCGTGTTCCTTGCGACTTGCGACTTGCGACTTGCGACTTGCAACTTTAGCAGTACCCGCAATTTGTTATGCAAGCAGTCACCTCGCACCCGCAATTTGTTATGCAACCAGCCATAAGCAGCCCCTCGCACAATCGTGTCCGGTCGTACTGTGCGTAGTGAGATGCTGTGGTATTGTTCTGGAGTGATTCACGAGCATGCCGAAAAAGGAATGGTCAAGAGGAATGGAGAAGGTTGAATGCACCAACTCGTACAATCACCGATTAGCCAACGTCTCTCGGAGATCAAGTAAGGGGAGCAGCGGAGACACCCATTTCAAAAGAAGACATTGCTTTATCTTTATTGTATAGCAGTAATCCAAACATAGGCCCGCGGGTGTACCGTACTCCGAAAGTTCCGGTGAGACTACATGTGTCGAGAGACGTGGGATTGGATGGCTTATAGACTCCGCCAAGGAACCTGAGATTGACAGACAGTCATACTGAGCCTGAGACCCGGGATTGACCGACAGGCTGACGAACGTGCGTTGCATTTTTTGTGGGTCTTGAACCCTGCTAGTCTCGTCATGAAGCCCTTCTGCGTGTCTCTCATAATCATTTTCTCAGACTGACATGTTTGTGCCTGGTGCAAGTGGCGGTGAGCACCCGCTTCGACTCATGTTGTACCGGCCCTTCATTCCAGCTGTGTCTTACAATCCCTGCGACTAGTGATCACCGCCAGTTTGATGACACAAGAATGCAGTCTCAGGGCTAGCCTGTGACTTTAAACGCTTATCTGCATGTCTGAGCGCACGAAGCCACTGCTGTCACAGTCAGAAATGTATGTAGTGAAGCCATAGCCACCGCATGTACTACACACATTTGTACACACATCTACGTATGTAGGTACTAGGTGTCGTTCTTCTGAGCAAGCATTTCGCTCCTATGTTGACTTCCTCCCAGGGGGGAACTTCCTCCCAGGGGGGAACACACAGAAAAAACGAAGCGTACATATCTCATGTGTACGACATCCACATGTCCATGTGCACTACCCTTCAGCAAATCTACAACTTCAACAAGAATTTCCACTACTTGCCTATTTACCAGATGAACCTATCTATTGCTTTCCTGCCAGATAACATCACATCCTGCTCATCTGGGCCCTAATGATCCCACCCTCCCCACAACCAACTAAACTAAGGTTGCTCCTGTGTGCATCCTCAATCCGTGTGCACCACCCAACCCCATGCCTCACCATTTCCATCTCGGGGCTCAGCTCAAGCTTTTCTAAACCTCTAGTTGCATACCCGTCAGACGCCATACGGGACCAGGCCCCAGCCACGTTAACAGGCTGCAGGCTCCCTGCATTCAGCAGCCAGCAGCACCAACAGCCGCTGATGCAGCTGCTCTGCTACCACTGGCCACCCCGCAGCCACAGGTCGAAAAGTCACAACCTGCTCACGAGCGCATGCTAGCAGCAACACACATACCTCCCTGGCAAGTCGCGCCTCGTCCTCCTCCCCCCCTCCTCCCCCTCCCCCTTCTCCACCTCCTCCTCGGCCTTACTAACGCCTTCAATAACACTACATCGACATGCTTTCGCAACCCACCATCACCCGCCAACCCTTCCGTTGTCTTGACCACCTGCACCGATGCCTTCGACATCTCCTCTTCCGCCTTCACGTGTGTTGGAGCTGTTCGCATCAACACCACCAGCATGTGCCGCTACAGTACGGTAGCATGTGCCACCACACGTAGCCATGTCGTACAAATCACTGCTGCCAGTAACCGCAGCGCTGCTAGCCGTGTTGCTCCATCATATGCATGAAGCCACTCGCGCAGCAGCGGCATGAGACGGCTCGCATGGCGTAGGGATGTAAGACCCAAGCCGACCAGAAGGTGATTCAAGGCAGGCATGAAGGCGAACTGCGAGCCGCCGTACAGCCACGTGCGCCTGACGTTCCATTTCTGTAAGCAGGTCGGCAGCCAGGCCGTGATATCCGGCGGACCGCGGATTCTTGCTCTGAAGACACAGAACAAAAGGAATGGATGGACGCGACGAGTTGAAAAAGTAAAAGAAGGAAGAGGAGGAAAAGGTGAAGGCAGGGAGCAGCAAGAGCTAAAATCGCGTTAGTTCATCATGACACCTGGCAGAGCAGCTGCTGTGATGACAATGAGGATTCAACCCGAACAAACGGTGAAAAACTGGTAAAAACGGCAAAACCAACCCACACTCCGGCCAGCCAGCCAGCCAGCCCGGCTCCAGTTCGTGGGCTGACCAGGGCCTGACCCAGCCTAGGCCTAGCACGGCCCCTACATCCAGGAGTCAGGTCGGGACTCCAGGACTCAGTACCCGGCCCCGCCACCGTTGTGCTTCCTGCACGCAACAGAGAGAGCCGATGCCGTACGTACCTCGATGCGCCGTACAACAGCCACCGCCGCCGGGCAAACTAGCGACCACAGCTGCTCATGGCAGCCCACCACCAGCTGCCGAGCCGCCTCCAAAAGCAGCTCCCGTTGCCACTGCAGGTCTGTGTGTGTGTTGGAAGGGGGGTGTTGCAGGGGGGGTGTTGGGGGCATGGTGGTAGTTGTAGCGGTGATGTGAACATATACATACAGACGTATAAAGTACGCTTACATTCGCACATACATATGTACACATATTCCAAAATTGGAAGCTAACCCTTCAAGGAGGTCATGCGCACACACATGCACGCTTCTTAACACTACCCGCACTACCCCCGACACTATCACACCATCACACACACACACGTCCTATTCGTCAAGGGTAACTCTGTGGAAGCCCCTACCCGCCGCCAAGCACTCCGCTGCGACGGCATGCAGCGCCGCCACGCCGTACTGCGCCACCCCTGGAGCGGGGTCGTCAATGCAAGCCAGCAATGCGGGCAGTGCCTCCCGCAGTACGACGCCGATGAAGGGATGTCGACAGCGCATCAACAGCCAGGGAAGGGGCATCTCGCGGGGTTGTGGGGAGAAGCGGTCAAGACCCCGGGCATGTCAAGCCGCTTGGAAAACACCCGCAACGTAAGCCGGCAGCTTATGTTTGCGGGTTGTTCTCAACCGCCAACCACAACCGCTGCCGTACCGGCAACTGCGAACAGTGACGCAGGCGCAGTCGTTAAGAAAGCTCCAATGCCCACCTTCCTTCCACATGCACGACATGGCCCTAACTCGCTCTTAGTGTAGCCTGATACCTGGGCCTGTGTACGGCCGTATAGGGCCCTCTACCAGGCTCTGCACGTGACGCTGTACGACAATTGGTCGGATGCGCGCATACAGCAGCTCTGGAAGGCATGCCGTCAAAGTATCTTGCTCCGAAACTACCTCTGCCGGCAAAAGTGCCAGCGATGCGGCACCTGCCGAGGCGCCGGCGGCGGCCGAGCCACACAGCGCACGTGACGGTGGCGGCTGCGGCCGCACCCGGCGATGCAGCGCCGCCAGCAGCGACTCTGCAGCGGCGGCGGCGGCCCAAGGTGTAAACAGTTCCCCCGGCGGCGGCGGCAAATCGGGATCTGCCGCCGCCGCCGGTGCCAGCGCCGGGGCGTAGGTGGCACCCAGCAACACAAGCTCCGGAACCAGGGTCCGTTGCTGCTGTCGCCATTCGCCGGCTAGCAATCGCTCCTGGCTAAAGCGGGGCCCGCTGGGGCAGCTGCCGCCACCGCTGCCGCCACCGCTGCCGCCACCATTGCCGCCACCGCTGCCACCACCGCTGCCACCAATGCTGATGTCGCCATTTCTGTCGGGCAGCTCCTCACTTACCACCTGAAGAGAGAGTGAGAGAGAGTGAGACAGAGGGTGAGAGAAAGAAACATCCCCTCAAGTCAGAGATTGAAATCCGGGCGGCAGGCAGCAGGCAGGAGGAGGAAGAGGTGTACGCCTCCCTAGCCGATGGAGCACCCTCCGCGAGCAGAGTGTTAGCCTGGCGGGCGGCGAACTCACTAACCTACTGTTCGTTGACGATGTGTCACTGGTAGCGACAGGGCACGATAGAGCAGAATGCCTTCTGGGGCTACTCGAAGCCTACTGCAAAGCGACGGGTATGGCTGCGAATGCCGCCAAGTGCGAGGTCCTCATTTTTGGGGCGCTACGCGTGAGCGGAAGCGGCGTATGGAAGCTGAGTACCGGTTAGGTGGGGCGGGGTTGCGGGTGCTGACCCGCAACGAGACGGCACGGTATCTCGGGTTGCACTATGGCCCAGGAGTGCAGTTCTCAGCATGCACCAAGCAACTACTCACAGCAGGGAGGCGGGCCACGTTTGGGCTCAGCACCCTGTGTCGAGATAAGAAAACTACCACCCCCAAGCTATGTATGTCTCTCTACAATACACTAGTTTCAACGGTGTTTTCTTATTGAGCGCAAGTTTGGGGACCTGACTTCATAAATGTGAGTTTTGAAGGTGCTATGACTAATCCCATGGTCCAGGAACAGCATGCATACGTGCGATCTGTAGTTGTGGCGAGGAGCCCGACTATGGTTTCCCTATACCGCGAGCTGTCACAGAGGCCGCTCCAGTTCCATTGGACCAATCTTGTACTTAGGTTTTGGAACTCTGTGGTTAAGAGGCCGGGAACGCTGTGTCACCGGGCATTTGTCGCTGACCTGGAGTTGGCACTTGGGGGCGTCACTGAGTGTTGGGCAAGCAAGGTACTAGCCTTTCTTACTAGCTTAGGAGCGGAACCCCCCACTAATACGCGCGGTAATGATCTTATAGCGTACTACGCCACCCTTAAATTGCCAGTTGAGAGCATCCTTAAGGTATTTGCCAAGCGGCTTGATGCACGGTGGGAGTGCCCGAATACCTTGGGTGACCCCCATAGGGTTTTCCCCATAGGGATTACCGGGGCCAAGGCTTGTCGCTACATGAACTGGATGGGAGCTGCCCCGCCTAGGGGTGCGCGTCTCGATTGGTTGGAGCACACTAAAGGGACCATGCCCTAGCGACTACATCATGAACTCATGCTTTTTCGGTTAGGCTGTTGGGAGTTAGAGGTTAATAGGCCTAATGGGCGTGAGCGCACCGTGCGTACCTGCAGGCTTTGTGACTGTGGAGCGGTTGAAGATGAGTTGCATGTTTTCGAGGAATGTCCCGCTTACAAGAGCATACGGGCTAAGTATGATGGTGATCTAGTCTTTAAGGGGCGCAGCATGCGCACCGTTATGACTGAGGCGCCACCCCTGGCATTGGCCAGGTACCTCTCGAAGGAAATTTGGCAGGCCAGGCATGTCGCGCTGAGGCGCTTCACCCTGAAGCGGACGAGGGAGAATGAAGATGACCTCCCGCGTATTCACATCTATCCCAAGACAACGTCCATGGCCCCCCCCGGCTTTTATGGACACACCCGCACTTGTGTGCGGAACTTGTAACTTGTAACTTTACCAACTTTGTAAATAAAACCGAACACAACCGGATATAACAGCCAACGCCAACGGTCAGTAATCCGTAGCTATTGGTGCAGATATGAGAGTAGGCAGGCTTCTAAGTTCAGGCGGACGTCATCATGGGATGAGAAAGTGAGAACCCTCCTAATGGTACCCCCACAGAGCGAACCCCCACTGCTGCATCATCCGTGTTTCCCCCCCTCCTCCTCCTCCCCCCCCATGTCCCTCCCCTCCCCCCTCTCCCTCCTTCCTCCTCCCCCTCGCCCCTCTCCCTCATATCCACCATCACTTCCACTACCACCCCCACCCACCTGCACCAGCGCCGTAATGCGCCGCATCAGCCTCGCCAGGCGCAGCGCCACCGCTGGCTGTGATGCACCCAACCAACCTCCAACAGGAGCCCTAGTCGGAGGAGGCGGAATCAAGTTACTTCGCCACGTCGACGCCGCCGCCGCCGCCATCATCCCGTTAACTCCTGGTGATGCCCTTTGTCCACATACATCACCTTCACTGCCACCGCCGTCGACAATTTGTCTGTCGACGACAAAGTCTCTGCTGCTGCCGACACCGCCACCGAGCTCACCGGGCTGAGGGCTGAGAGCCACAGCGGCTGACTCCGACTGGCTCAGCAGTGCCTGCGTAAGTATGTATGTATATATGCATGTCATAAGGGGACGAGGGGAGATTGCTCGCGCGGATGCCATGACAGCGAAAACAGGAGTGTAGTTCGGGAGGCGGGTGTAATGTGTGGCGGGTAATTACGTCGTACATGTACGACATTCATTTCGGCATACGATGTGTGGGGAGGACCCTTCTGCGCCAGCAGCAGCAGCCGCATCGTCGTCGTCGTCTCACCCACGTCTCACCTCCACTGCCGCCAGGCAACCGGCGGGGCCCATCAAGCAGCTCAGACTGTAACATGCGGATTGCCGCAAGGCGTCGCTGATACAGGCGGCCAAAGCGGTCATCTGCTCTGTCGTACCGACCGGTGCTACAGCCCCGGCCTCCCAGCAGGGCTTCCGCCGCAGCGGATTTCACGGTGGGTATGGTTTCGGCTGCTGCTGCAGCCAGGGCCGCCGCGGCGCCAATGGCGCGGCAGAGGGAAGCGGCGGTGCGGCTGCCACCGTGGCCGCCACCGCCGCTGCTACTGCCGGCCCCCATCAGGGGCCCTTCCGGCTCGGCGGCGGCGGCGGCGCGGATCTGGCCCCCCCCCAGCCCGGGTGTTCACCGTGGTGGCGGGTGAAGGCCGCCGCAGCTGCCCAGACCTACGGGGTAGCCGACATCGGGATCTGCCGATGTGGGGCCCAGTGGGATAGCGGGGTAGTAGAGTGGGGGGAGAACAGATTGATCAGTGGGACCCTGGCTTGGCCCTAGTGTGGAGTTCGTGTCCCTCCTCTCACTTGCCTCCCTGGAGCCCTGGCCCTTGACAGCTGACCTGCAGGTCCTTGGAGCATCCCGCCGCCGCCAACACGCCCTCCGAAACCATCTGCCACCACTCGCGCGCACTGCACCGGTTGCGGTGCGGCGCCAGCAGTGTCGCTGCCGCCAGCAGCGCCGCCGTCACGACCCGTGGGTCGTTTTCCTTCTTTGCATAGAAGCTCCCTGGGGAAGAGAGAACGCCTCGTGCAGCAGCCGTACAGCCGCCAGCCGGACCTCCGCCGACAGGGAGCGTAACCCGGGGATGCCACATACATACATACATACACAACCCAGTCGACCCGGGTTCAAATCCGCCTGCCGGCTCCTCGGGTGTTTGAGGAGTGATGAAATGGGAGGTGGCCCCCCATCTTATGGACGGTGTAGGACGTGATAATATCAACTTGCGAGCTGACCAGGAACTAAGTTGATGCGCCGTTGATCCGCTAGATTTGGTTGGATGCTGGTGGTGAGTTGCCGAACCCAACGAATACATTCTGAAGTCGGATGGGGTGACGGATTAGGGTGCCCCTCTAGCAGGGGAGAGCAGGGACTGCCCCGGGAAAGGGGGCCGCTGGCGAAGTTAACCACCCTGTAACAACATACATACATACAAACATACATACATCTATGCGTACATACGTACATACATGCGTACAATCCTCTTAAGGGCAGGCGACTGGCATAGGTTCAGGCCTGACTTCTGCTCCCGGAGTGTCCGGATTCAAATCCGCCTGCCGACCTCTCGGGTGTTAGAGGAGTGTTGAAATGGGAGTTGGCCCCCCATCTTAAGGACGATGTAGGACGTGATAATATCAACTTGTGAGCTGACCAGGAACGAAATTGTGGCGCCGTTGATCCGCTAGATTTGGTTGGATGCTGGTGGTGAGTTGCTGAACCCAACGAATACATTCTGAAGTCGGATGGGGTGATCGGATTAGGGTGCCCCTCTAGCAGGTGAGAGCAAGGAACTGTCTCGGGAAAGGGGGGCGCTGGTGAAGCTTAACCACCCTGTAATAACATACATACAAACGGACTAAGGAGCTCGCTTCAATTAAGTTGTTCGTGCACCACCAGCCTGTATACCCGTCCCTGGCCTTTGCGGGCCAGAAGCAAAAACGAACCTTGAGGCTGGACCATAGGGGTCCCAGCAGCGGCGGCACTGGCGGCGGCACTGGCGGCAGCTGAACTGGTGGCTCCGAAACCGCCTCTGCCTCCCCTGGAGCTATCACCGCCGCCGTTGTTGCCACCCTTGTGCAGCAGCAGACGGCGGCTCGGAGTGCCTGCACTACATGCCGTTGAGTACCCAGCCAAGCAAGTGCGCAGTCGTGTCGCACGGAGAGGTGATGGTTGCAGGCCGCACCTAAGGGACCTAGGACGTGCTGCGCTGCCCAGAACACAGCGTGTATTAGCACGTCGCGAGCGGGTGCGGGATTCAGAGTCCCTCAGTGTCCCTCGTCGCGAGCGGGTGCCGGCGCCTGTCCGGCGCCTGCAGACGGCTCTGTAGGGGCGTGCTCGCAGAGCAACCGCTTACGGGGTGCGGCCGCTCAGCGCGTGCACGATATCAGCCCATAGCGTCTGCTCCGCGCCAGCATCGCAGATCTCATGCGCTGGGGCCACTTTTGGGGCAGGACCCGTGGCAGGGCGGCTTTCAATTGCCGCCATGGTAGCGATTTAGACAGGCAAAAGTCCCCAGCTGAGCGGGCTTCCGGGATGTGGATGCACAGCTCCGATGAAAAATGAGAACTCAATGTAACTCAATGCGAGCCAGGGCGCAACGATGCTTTCGACTGTTTAGCTGGACCATGGCTTTGCGGTATACGGCAGCTGGATCGACTGCCGTACTCCACCGCAGGTACAGAGCGCCCAGCAGCACTGTACTGGCTGCCACCGCCTGAGGGCAACCAACCCCCAGCCCGAGAAAGGGGAAATAAGCGGGTGGGGGGGTTCGTGTGTTTGCGGTGTTTTCTCTTTCTGCACGGTTTTGTGCGTGTGTGTGTGTGTGTGCGCGCGCGTGTGTGTGTTTGTGTGTTTGTGTTGTTGGTTTGTTGCTTGAAGGGGGGGAAAGAGCACCCGCGGCTAGACATCCGGGCTGTACGTTGAACATCAGGGCTTATTGAAGGGGCGGACAGGCACGCAGGCGAGCAGGCAAACGTACAGGCAAACAGACGGTCAGACAGACAGACACAAACAGATAGACATACATACAAACAAACAAGCAAAATGGCATCCCTGGCACCTCTCAGGCCAGTCAGCTCCAGCGGCTGGTACGTCAGCATACACAAATGTATAACTCGTGCCGTACAAGCACACGTACAGACGTACCATGACGCCGTACTCCGCCATCCGGTCGTTAAAGGCGATGAACGTATTGGTCACACTCCGCATGACGCGCCTGAGCGGCGGCGGGCCGGGGAACATGGTGAACTAGAAAAACATACATACGCACATACAAACAAATCGCAATACATGGGTTTTGCATACTAGGGTTTGGCACTACTGGTAACGTGCGACCATTGCCCCCGGGAGATCCTGGGATCGATACCCATTAGGGTGAGATATTCTTCCGATGGTGGAAGGTATAGCGTCCTTACAGTTGAGGAACGGTGGTGATTTGGGAGAACCTGCGATCCGGCCAGGAATGGAGTAGGGCCGCTATCGACCCGGTAGATTTCGTTGGTTGCTGGTGGTGGGTGCGGAACCTGAGCGATCCACTGAGAAGTTGACTAGGGTAACTGGATGAGGGGGCCCCGAAATACCGGGGAAGGCAGGGTTTCGCAGGGTAGCTGCCACGGGCGAAGATATACCCCCCTGTTTCACACATCACACAAATCGCAAAGCTATGCAAAAGTTGTTCGTATGTGTGCAATACCCTTTTCGCCATTTCCTTCTCTTTGAGGACCAGCTCGGCAGTTGGATCCTTTAACGTTTTTGCGGGTGCACACGATTTCCCTCCCCTCTCCCCCCCTTTTTCCCTTATCGCCCGGGGCCCCCCCGCCCCTCCCCCCCTGCCCGCGCGCACCAGAAAACCACCACAGTCGCCAGCTCCGTCACCACGTAAATAGCGGTGCCGTACTTGTGCCATACCGCCGCTAGCTGCAGCCGCAATGCATCCCCCACGCGGCCCCTCAGGACTCCCCCCGGCCCCCCAGCGCTGCTACTGCTGCTGCTGCTGCTGGTAGTTGTGGTGGGTGTAGTGTTGGCAGCCTGGTGCACCCCCACCCCCACCCCAGGAAGGTACCGGTAACGGGGGGGGGAGGTGGGCACCAGGCCAAGGGGGCGCAGGAGGAGGGCGAGGGAAAGACAAGCCGGTTCAGCATTACGGTGGGGGTGGTGGAGGGGTGGTTGGTGGAGGGGTGGTGGCTTTGGAAGGCCCGAGGGGGAGAATGTCGAGGGGGGAAAGAAGGAAAATGGACAAAAGACGGCGAGATCTCATGAGAATCCTAAATTGCAGATATGTTTGTGTGTGTGTGTATTTCCCCCAATCAACGGGAACGCAGGGCAGGGCAGGGCAGGGCAGGGCAGGGGGCCCCGCGCACGCATACTCTGTCCGTTTGCTTGCATGTCCGGGGGCCAATGAGCTGTTGTAGGGCCCCCCTTTTTTTAAAGACGTAAACACTCCGCATGTGCACCTGTACGCCCACGCATTCATACATACATACAGACAGACCTGCGTAGACATTCGCCGTACTCTGTACGGCGGTCGTCTTGGCAAGCCTTGCATCGCCGGCCCAATAAGGCCCCGCCCTCGATTCGCCAACGCAAAACCATCAACATCGAAGCAGCGCCGTGCACCCGCCGCTGCCGCCGATGCCGCCACGGCGGGGCTGGTCGTCATAACGGCAGAGCAACTGCTACAGCTCCCAAAGCTGCTCCGCAAAGGAATGTGATGCGGCCGTAGCGGCTGCAACAGCCCTCGCCGTACAGGACCCCAAAGCGCGCCGCCGCCGCCACCGCCGCCGCCACCGATGCTGAACAAGGATTCAACTTTGGATCCTAACCCCAGACTGATTATGGCGGCTGGGCTCGATCCTGCGACGTCGGGCAGTAGCAGAAATGGTTTAGCAGCTTCGGCGCACAGGAGATTTGGGTTTCAAGTCGGCATTGAAATTTCAAGCACCCGGGCAGGTAGGTCACACAGCCCCAGACGACCGCCAGGTGTGTCCAAAATTGTCCAATTTGGAATGTTCGATTCCAACATGACGGGAAGCTCGCCCCCCCCCGGAAGTGTTCCACAACCCGCAACGTGTTCAGTCTCTTAGTCCCACGAGTTTCCAAAACCGGGAGGAGCAGGGTCGTTGTCGGGGAAGGGATGTGTGATGCTGAAGGGTGCCAAGTGCCCAGTGCTAAGTTTGAAACGTGTGCAACCCCCAACACGTGCGTGCGGGCACATGCAGGAGCCCAGATGTCGGAAAGGATGGAGAGAGAATGGAGGAGAGAAGGCGTACCTGCTGCAGCGGCTGCAGCAGCTGTCGCGTTGCCGCGCGAAATAGCGACAGAGCCCGATGATGTGAGGGAATGATATGGCTGCGATCGTAGCACAGCAGGTGTAGCGATGTTGCTTGTGGCGGGGGCGGGGGTGGGGGCGGCCGTCGGCGTTAAAGCTCTAATGGAAGGTTTTTGTGTCGCGGAGCAGACTGCGGTCAGCACTGTGCAGCTGTGCAGGGTTTGGAGGATTGCTGCGACGCCGCGAGCACCATATCCGGGCATCACAGCTGCTGCTGAGGCCGCTAGGGCTGCTGATGCTGCGAGCGCGCACGTAGCTGAATGCTGATGGGGGTGGGAGGGTAGCTCCAGACACCAGTCCAGAACCTGTAGGACAAGTCCACAACAAGAGAAGCGTGCTTCTGGAGCATGATAACAACAAGAAACACAGCGTCTATCTGACAACTGACCACACCACGTACGGCAAAAACGTGTACGGGCATACGAAGGAATGTGTACGGATGTACCTCTCTGAAGGCCTCCCCTCGGTCCAAGTTGTAAGCACAGTCGCGGCCGTGGTAGCTATTCGGGTTGCGCTTGCCGAACTCTGATGAGGCGAAAGAAACACGTGAAATATACATAGCATGATGTCAGAGCTTGTTACAAAAGCGACGAGGATTCCTGTACGGCATCGCAGTATTGATCGCCCGAAAGCTTGCTTGGAGCCGGCGGCGAATGGGACGCCCTTTAACACAAAAAAGGCAGCTTGTCAACTCCCCCCGGCTTAAAGGATGTTTTTTGCCATGCCCAAGGCTGCGATGGCCGGGATGACGGATGGATCCGCCCGGTGCTGCTCCACTAAATTGTATTCCCACTTTGCTCCATGCACCCAGGGCACCCTAAGGCCGCACATCGGACAACTCAAGCGGCTTCCGAAGTCGCGATCCGGCGCATAGTGTCGCGTGGGTCTGAACCCACTTGCGCAGGAAAGACCTACAAAGCGACATTTAAAAAACCGACGTTTAATAAAATTGCTGTCGAAAACGTCGGAAAGAAACATCCAGCTCTCAAAGCATCAAATCGTATTATTAATGTACGATATACGGCATGTTTTGCAGAATAGAAGGAAGTGAGCCCTTCCCCGCCCGCTACCTGGCTTCGAAGAAGCCCTCCAACCCCACCGTAATCATGTGGTTACGGTCTAGCTCCCGAACGAAGTCCGCCGTGGAGCTCACCCACTTCTGTTTGTACGGGTCATTACATACATACGTACAGCTACATAACAGGGATACAAACAGACATTTCACAGTGTTGACAAGGTGGCCGAGCGCGCGGTGAAAGGCGCTATTATAAATTCATGGCAATGTGAATGGATGATACTCTTTGGCAATGTGAATGGATGATACTCTTTTATGTTCTATGTATGTTCTAAAATAGACATAGAACATGTTCTAAAATAGACATACATACATACATGCACATATTGCCAGCGTTGCTAAAGCTGCCCAAGAAGTCCTTTTTTTGAAGTGCAAACCAACAAACGAGGTGATGAGGGGATAGCATTAGTTAGTCGGCGAATTCCCGCGGACATGCGGCCTCGTAGCAGCCCTTGTACCTTACGTGACGGACCCCAGGCTCTCACCTAAAACCGAAGGAAAACCCGAACACCTCTACAACCTTCAGACCCATATACACCACACCCATTTTAGTGCAATTCCTCACACGCACCCGCAATACGATGTTCCCAGGTCCGCCGGGGCGTAGCGATTGGCGGCGTAGCGGTTGTCCAATGCAGTGAATATCCCCCTCATCACATACATACATACATACATACATGCACAGACACACCCATGCAAACCAAAACTCCTTTATATCTTACCGATAATCGTGACGCGTTCGATCCAGGATGCCGTATCGCCACCTGCCAAATGTACGGCAATGAGAAAATGCTTCATGCATTACGGCAGCAACAACAATCAAAAGGCCAAACCCGCATTGCGAAACCGCTTGTTTGAGTACGTCGCTGCGAGCTGTCGTCTACATGTTACGGTGTGACATCACTCAAATACATGACGATCGCACAAGTGGACGACAATAAAGCACATTTGGCATGAGCACCTGGCTTTGGCCCGATCTTAACTGTTGTAGTGGCGAGATGTACGAGCATGCCGTACCTGACGTACGCGGGCATGCCTCCATAGTCAGGCCAGTAATTCGTAAGCACCAGCAGCAGCCTGCGCATATGCTGTTAGCCGTTAAACTTTGGATGAGCCGCAATTTAAAGCGTCGCAAATGGGATGGATGGGGGAGGGAGAAGGAGGACTACAGCATTTCTCAGTGCCGCCACAGCATAATATTGTTTTTCTCAATCATGCATGTCTAGTCATATTCTTTGCCATACATGCTGGTGCCAAAAGTACTTTTAGACCAATCGCGAGAAACGGGGACACAACGGGGATGCAGCTGGAAGTTTTTGCAGACCGCTTCTGCGCACTCGCAACGCAAGGCTTAATTCCCTGGTGAAACAGCCTGTCCACATCGAAAGTAATGTTTTCATTGTATAGCCTAGACAAACACTGTGAAAGATAAGCACTAAGTCATTCAGGGCGCAACAGAGCATAACAACGGCACTACGGAATTCCGAAGGCCGTGACCATTTGTAGAAATTTGTGGCGCTTCAGTGGTTTGACCACTACCGACTGCAGTTCTGGGGAGTTACTGCGCTCATATAGACAGATTACACACCTGATGCCTCGCCGCCCGGCTTCCTGTAAGCACCACCTCGTTGAATTTGCCTGCAGCGATGCATCGCAACTCACGTGAATGCTCAGACCTCAGGACCATTCCCCAAATTATGCCGAACCTTGGGAGACTCGGCACCCCCATCGTGCCTCGAGCTGATGCCTGGTGATGCGGCGTCATCGTGGGCATACCTACCCGGTTCCGGTTGCAGCGCGTTCCATTCGTCGGGCCCGTCACAAAACGCCCAGCATGGTAGGATTGAGCCGCCTTGCATCGTCCAAGACCTCTGTAACCAAAGGCCGTTGGTGCTCATCGGCGGCATGAGTCTGCGGGTCAGCAGTTCATCAATACTACTTCCGATTTATAAAAGAAATGAAGGCTACAGGAGTCGGTGAGCATAGGTAAATTGCAAATCCTTGCTTCTATAGGAAGCTTCTCTTAGCGCGTGGAAGGTCTGACCCACGGGCCATATAAGGATTCCTTTCGAAAATGCGATTGCAGAAAAATGGGAAAATGATATCGATAAACCAACATACCATGAGGTAATGGCAGTTTGCTCCGGCGAAATGGAAAGGATGGTCACCGGCGTAAAGCCGGATCCCCCTAACACGCACGAGCTGCATTTTTGATTTACTCAAAAAGAAATGAAAGCAAAATGGGAGGATATTGTGCATAGATCGAAGTATTGCGCTTTAAGGTGTCGCCGTACAATAGCATTTTGACCCGCATACCCGGCTGGACGACAATTGCATTAGTAGCCTTGCTGGTACTCTTTTTCGACTGAGAATGTGTTGCTTGTTCTTCAGTTTGAAGTTTTGTCTTTTTGCGGCAGATGCATGTATCTTACGAACTTGTAACTTACTTTGAAAGCTGCTTCAGGCTCGAGACTGTGAACTTTCCCTTTAACCCTCCAAAATGACCACAACCTTTCCACGAACTACGGGTATGGACTGGGGGGTAGTCTTCAGCGCGGGACGTCGGCTTTTGGACCATGGGTGACTTCAGACCCTTAGGACTATCCGCTACGTGACCAGACCATGACGAGTGCACCATCATTTCCACCGTTTAAATTTGAATCTCGACGTGCACGTATTGATTGGCGTCTGCTTCATGGCATTGACATTTACGCCATGGTTGGTTCCAGCTGCTCTAGGGCTTGAGAAGCTGGTCCCATGCGTCGTCGCAAAACCTGTGCCTTTACTGACCTTGTACAGATGCGTGACGTGGATCTCGACACACTGGAGAAAATTGTAAACATAGTCTCGTTCGGCGACATAGAGTCGGAGGACACGCGTCATCTTACGGAGCTCAATTTCATAAAATATTCCGGCTATGATTGAGTATTTGCTATACGTGCAGGATTGCCTGCAAAACAGCAACGCAGTGGGCTGCGACTGTTATTCTGCTTTGCACGCAAGAGCTGAGTTACAAATCTCCATCTGGGTCGATTGGGGGATTTCTCTTTTTTCTTACGCTAGCGGGAGCTGCGACGAAACCGCAAAACCATGAAAACCTACGAGCTCCTGGGCGTACATAAGTGATGGCAAGGGCGCCGCCGCCACAACCGCGGCAGCAGCCGTGTCGCCGCCGGCCCCACCGCCGCCGCAGCCCCAGGTGCGAACCGGGCTCTAACCTCACTAGTACTAGTCCTTCCACCTCACTCGTGTTTTCGAATGGCTCTCCTTCATCATCCACTAACACCTGATGTAGCACCTGGTTAGGTCAGCCATCATTAGTTTCACAACTGCGTGGAAAGGATCGTTCATGCCGATTGCAATGCTTTTCTTCTCGCTTGCTGTATCTCCTTTCTGTATCTCCCAGGTGGTGCGGGTGGAGCCAAACCCGGTCAATCTTGCCATGGAGGCCTTATTGCGCAAGGAGCTGGCGGCGCTGGGAGATCGGCTCGGCTAGGCGACGCTGGAGTGCCTGACGCTGCGCTTCGAGCGGGATGAGCTATATCAGGTTTGTGCCTCTGAGTCTGCCAGGATAGCCGGCGCCACCTGCATTGCTAGACGAAGTAGCTATCAATAGCAGCTGCTGCAATAAGCGGCACCACGACTTGCTTGGGCAGGGGTGCAAAGGCAGGGCGTCCTTTTCGATCAGGGACGTGGAGCATCACGGAAGGTACCATGTAGGGGATGTGGTGCAGGCGACAAATCAGACATTACCCGCTCCCTTCACATGCCCCGTGGTGCATAGATGCGAGTCACCGTAGTATTTTCTGCTGGGTTGTGCTGTGCTGTGCTTGGCTTCTCCCTGACCACCGGGGCCGCATCTGTCTGGTGCGGATGGTACCGTGCTGAACCCGCGCTGTCGCAGGCCGTGAAAGATCTGGAGGCGACGGTCAAAGCGTGCACTCGTAAGTGTGTGTGATTGGGGAGAAGGGCTTCCCGCAGAGCTGGAAGCATTCTTCTGCGGTGTCTGGGTGCCTGCATCTGCTTTCACCACTTCAGCGCTTCACCGTTGCTTTCACCGCTAATAGTCCCTTTCGGGTCGAGTGTCCCTCGGGCCTTCACTCCCACATCATCACCTGCCCTGTCAGCTGGTTAAGGACGCATCGTGTTGCACCGCGATCAGCTCCAATTGTAGGGTCGCAGCTCTCAGGTCTTGAACCGGAGACGCCCGGGATTCTCTTGTGGTGTCACACCCTGTCACCCGGTGTCACACTCTGCTGCATATATGAAAGCCTGAGACTAGGAATGCGGCTGGCTGCTCTGTCTACCCTTGTGCTTCCTGAAATCTCACAGATACGAGCGGGACGTCAAGCCCCCACGCTACTCTTCTTAGTTCAACGCCGTAATGGCTTCGATATCCTAGCTCACATCCTTCACCTGCTTCATACCCTACTTCCTTATTCTCCTTCCCCTCTACCCTGCCCTTAGTTTTTTGTAGTTCTTCTTTCCCTGCCCCTCTTACGTTTATTCTTTTCCTTTTTTAGGCACCACGGAGCTGCATGCAGATGCTCCTGGTGCGCACGGTTTGGCGGGAGCCATATGTGGCCCCGATCCACACACTGTTCTTTGTTTTTTCTTTCGTCTCTTTTTTTGTTTCGTCTCTTTTTTTGTTTTTTGTTTCTTTTGTTGTTCCTTTGTTTTTTGCTTTTTATTATTACTTCCCAAATTGCTTTCACCCCGTTTTGCTCATTGCGTCATCATTCCCTCATCCGGTACGACACTTCGCTTTGTTTTTTCCTTCCTTAAGCATTTCCTTTTCCTTAAATTTCCCTTTTCAGTCAAAATTTCAAATCAGCCAGCCAGCTACTACTATTCCTCAGCAGCATTTGCATGTCCCCTTGTCCTTTATCGCACCCGCCTCACCTCTTTGTTACCCTTTTGTTTTTGCATGTGCCTTTTGCCACTACTTCGGCGGCCTGGCCAGGTGAGTCCAAAGGGTGGTTCGAGCTTCTTTGGTATTTCGCGTTGGCGTCGGTAGGCTAGCCGGAATAGTTTAGTTGGGTCGGTCGGGTCAGTCGCGCGTTCTAGTTTTTTTTTTGGGGGGGGGTTGGGAGGAGCACTTGCATACCGGCAGCCTTTCAGTATCAGCAATGCAGCTTTCTCTCCTGGCCGGCAACTTTACTCCACTTTTACGTCAGCACTATTTTTCTCGCCGCCTTCACACTTTTTTTTACACCTACCAGTTTACGGTTTGGCTATACTATTCAGCCTTTTTTTCTGGCGGCTTAGGTAGGTAGGACTTCCAACAGCTACGTCACTTCGTCATCCCGAGGTTACAGTCGTCATCCCGAGGTTACAGTCGTCACAGTCGCCACGGATGCCTTTCGGTCAGTTCTTTCGGTTGCTACTATCTTGCCCTAGCAGCAGCTTCAATCGCGTGTGGTTCGTCTTTCCCCCACGCTACTCGCGACAAAAGTAAGTCTCTCCACCTCCTGGGTTACTATCATGGTCGGGAGTTCCCTTGCCCTATTAAGCCATGGGCTCACACTCTGTGGACCTGTACTTGAGGCCACAAGTCAGCTATCGCCCATTTATTAGCTCCACATGTCTAGCTTCACCGGGGCCTGCTATGTAACCTGTTGGGGGATCTGCTTGGGAAATGCATCTGTGACACCAGTCGCAAAATATCTGTCGCGGACTACGGAAAGCTCTCTTCTTGTGGCACTGCCAGTATCCTCTCGGCGTCCGCGAGCGTCTTTGCTTTTCATCGTGTTCAGCACATGTTGCCCGGTTGTTTTGCAGTGCGGAGGCCCTGCAGGCCGTACAAGGTTTCCAGGACCAGCTCAATAAGGCCACAGTGGAGATCACGTAAGGCGATGGGGCTTGAATGAGGGGGACTGGAAAGCACATGGCAGACAGGGGATGACCGGTTAGGGCTGGCGTGAGTAATTCGGAATGGGCCATGGGCGTAAGGCGCTCCGTGCACACATCTAGGCATGCGGGCCGTTCATGTCCAGGTCGTTCGTCTGGCTCGTGGGGCTTTCCTTTCGTTAACCTCTTCTGCACCCGCTGAGTCCTGAAAGACCGAGGGAAATCTAAGGGGTCCAGATCACAAGACAGTCCAACCTTGCTCATGCACATGCCGCTTCTCTTTACTCTGTGCTTTCCCGTTCAAAATGGGTCCCCTCAGGCTCTTAATGACGTCCACCGCATTTGTGTGGAACTTGTAATTCTTGTAACTCTACTTTTGAAGTCCTACGGGCGTGGGCCATTCACGTTTCTTCGATGCTCATACACTGGCACTGGTAGCCTCGTAGGCTAAGGGTACCATGGCGCGCATTTATGCACAGCTGCGCACAACCCAGCATGGGTGCGTGTGGCTCCCGCCTTCCTCGTTCCCAAACCCTCCGTCCTTCTTCCTGCGCCCCTTCCGTCCGTTTGCGCAGCAAGCTCCGGAACGAGAAGGAGGACCTTACAGCGGAGCTGGAGCAAGCCAACGTGGAGCGACGACATGCAGGACGAGAAGAGCCGGCTGCTGTCTGAGCTGGCAAGCAGGTATGGCGAGGGTTAATTGAACCTACTTTGCTGAGAGCGGATAGCCAACTGGGCTCGTGAGTGCGGCTGTCCCTACTGGCTGCGTGCCCCTCCATGCTACTCCAGAGGTGGGTATCTGACGGTCGGTCCCAGATGGTTTTCTCGGCAGACAGCTTTGCCTGCTTCTAGGACTGTGTGGCGTAGTACTTGGCGACAAATGCCGTAGGAGCGTCCTCACTTCACAACCGTTAATTACAGTTGGTAGTGAGTCCAACGTGCACCGTGAACATGGAGAAGGGCAGCGTCGACATGGAGAAGGGCGCGGCCAGATTACCCCAGCCTAAGGAAGGATAAGCGCGTCCCTCGATCTGGGATGTGATGCATATCCGCAGCACATCGTGTGTGCCATGTGTGCCCTGCCGCGGGCCGGCGGGTCCCACGGAAAGCCCGCGCACCAGCGAAAACCTGAGCAGCATGCTGCTGGAAGCTGACCGCAAGAAAGCGGCGATTCAGGTGTGCTATTGGGCTGGGGTGCGGTGCTTGGAAAGGGCCTTCCCATTTAGCACAAGCAGGTAGGCTTTTCAGGTACTTGGTGGACATTTTTTGCAAGGAGCTTTGGACGGGGCATGGGATCGAGGTTCACCGAAGGGTTATAGGTCATGGGGAGCGCTGGAAAAAGTGGAGCAGCAGCGATTTAAAAAAAGGCTGCGTAATGCTGTCCTAGTGGCTATGGCCATCAGTTCTCCGGCCTGAAGATGAAGATGTGTTAGGCCAAATGCTTTAATTTACCCGTTGTAAATCTGCTTGTTAATCGTCCCCCGATGTCTGTATGATGTGTGAAACAGGGGGGTGTATCTTCGCCCGTGGCAGGTACCCTGTGAAGCCCTGCCTTCCCCGGTATTTCAGGGCACCCTCATCCAGTCACCCTAGTCAACTTCTCAGTGGATCGCTCAGGTTCTGCACCCACCACCAGCATCTAACGGAATCTGCCAGATTGATGGCGATCCAACTCCATTTCTGGTCGGCTCGCAGGTTAACTTTATCCCCGGTCACCACCGTCTATCAACTAGAGGCGCAATGTCTTCCATCATCGGGAGGACTGTGTCTCTATTGGGTATCGATCCCGGGATCTCCCGGGGGGCAATAGTCGCGCCTTACCAGTGGTGCCAAACCCAATTTGTATAGTGGTGCCAAACCCATAGTGGTGGCAAACCCCATAGTGGTGCCAAACCCCATAGTGGTGCCAAACCCTAGTATGTATGTTATATGTGGCTAGATGCATGAATGAATCCACACAGAATTTTGTATCCGAGCTGTCATGGAAATTCCTCATAAGACTATACCATATCCCCACGCAGGACATCACGGAATCCACAGGCTGATGGGACGAGTTATGTACCAGAGAGGACCCACGGGCGCATCTCAGGTGAAACTATGGCTGTGCATTCAATGGATCCCGTTAGCATCCTTGTGATAATGCAAAGCTAAGAGCAAGCCTTTCCTACGAGTTGTTCTCCTGGACCCAGCCACACACAATGATGATCTGCAAAATGCAAACTCGATAAAGCACGTCATAATATGGCGGCACTGCAAAGCTCGTGAATCTTGTTCACCTTGGGTAACTTGGATTTTGCCCGTCACAAACGCACCACAGGGCCCCATGCCGGCGCCAAGGATTATTCAATGGCATGGAAGTATTTCAAGCGATCTTTCTGAAATTGAATAAGTACGCATATTGTGATCAACGATATTGCTCAGCAGACAACTTCTCCAGGACAAAGAAGCCAAAAGAATTGCGCAACATGCTCCAGTTTTCCCGGCTACAAGGTAGCACCACATGACATCTAATAATCAACTCATCCAGCAAGCCATCAGCTTACACCAGCTCTATATTGAACTGATTGCGTGGCCTGCCTCAGACGGGGATTGCATACACCAACATGAAACGGCTGTAACAGTGCAGTGCCTACTCATTTCCCTGCCGACATGGTCACTATCATTACACTGACATTGGGCAGACTATTCATATGCCTGCAGCAGGTATGTGTCCAGCAGCATGCAGCGCAGGTTGGGTTTTCCTCTGTTGCCGTTGTACTTCTTCAGCTCCTCCTTGAAATTGTTGCTGCGCTGTGAAGATGCAGAGGCCTTGCCATGTGAATAAGTGAAGTTGGAGGCCTGCAGCTTCGCCACAATGCTGACCACACCCTCCATCCTGTTTTGGCCAGCCTGTATACTGCAGTATATATTGTTGTTCACTGCACATGCCCTGCAGGCGTCTTGCAACAGATGCTGACCAGATTGGACACGGTACAGGCTGGCCAAAACAGCTGTTTTGGCCAGCCTGTAAAC